GCGATCTATCCCTTCGATCTCCCGCCACCAGTCAGCTCGGCCGCTACACTACACATAGTTCATTGCCCGGACCGATTTGTTCTGCATCCTGATTGGATGTGCTTGCTCTTCAAACTGACCGCCGCGAAATATACCTCTGTTGAAGGATCAATCAAAATTCATAAATGATTGATTCTTTCTAGACCTGGAGTATTCTTACCACGAAAGCTTAACACCTACACTGAACACATATTATATTCCATATTTTGTATTATTGTACATTTTTAGACAGTTTTTCTTCACTTATCACAAATTCTCTGTTTTGCACACTATTGACCAAGCATAAAACTAAAACAAGCACAATATTTCTGCAAAAGGAAGGGTTTGCTTGAGTTTTTTCCTGTTCTCCAAGGGGTTTGACTGTGCCCAAGAGACGACTTATCAATAAACCTTACTATTATTCCTCAACTTCACTTGGGATGAATTGTGCAAAACAACCCGGTTGTTCTGGCAGTGGTTTTGGCGAACATTTTGTCTGTGTACGAGAGATGCAGACCAGCAGATACAGACAGATTTCGCAGGAATACACGGCAGATTTCAGGTTCTCTCAAGCGATGCAGCCACCATTTCACTTTACAAAGCGTTGTTTCGGACGAATGCCCGGTTGGTTTGTGAGCAACCAACGACTACCGGTTTTGCACACGGCAGTTGGACCATCAATTTCGAGGATGCCCACCATATGCTCTAAACAGGTTGGTGCAGTAAGAGTGACTTGCGCATGAGGAAGTGAAGCCAGTATGCAGTTGGCCGGATTAAGAAATGAGACCTGCCTGCTTTAGGCTGTCTAATACCACACGCAGGTTGTGCAGTTGGTCTTTGAACACCCTATGATTTACGATAATGTTGTCGAGATACACCAAAGAGGTGTTTGGATGAACTGTGTGATAACTTGGTTCATAATTCTTTGGAAGGTACTAGACACGTCAGCCAGAACAAAAGAGGGGGGTTTGTGATCCATATCGTCCGGAGGGCACTGGGAATGCAATATAACCACGGCCAGAGAGCATGAATTCTAACTGTCAATAATCAGCTGCTAAAAAATGACTGCAGAAATGACAGAATTGACTGCAAA